GACCCATAACGATATCTGTAGCTCTGATCTGTACTTCACTGAAAAAGTGTATTCCCAAATATAATATGTAACATTAGGTATTTGGACTCCACCAAATCCATGATTTATATAAACTCAGGAAGCTATGGAAATGAGAACAATATCATAATTCCATAATGAAACTGAAATGGCAAAAACATGAAGGACAATGTACATAAAACTGAATAGTTTAATATTGATAAGTTTGACACAAGTACTGAGGAAATAAAAACAGAAAGATACTGACAAGGAAATGGTGAGACTAAATTTAACAAATTTGACAAATTCCCATTTTTTCAGAATCTCGGAAAAACAGATGGTTTTCAGTCATATTATTTACACTAAGTCACCTACACTGACAATACCGAAGATGTATGTTAGACAACTTGAGTTTGAATCTCAATACTGGTTGTCACATAGAATTACTCAAATGGAAAACATGTTAGCTCACACGAAGTAGAGATTGAGCGTGACTTGCAATACTTGCAAAACTTTTGCTTTATTAAGTTTTTACGTACATGACTGTTCTCCTCATTCTTACTCTTACATGGACTGTGGTTTGCTGGTAGCAACAAAACTTATCGAAATGGAAAGACTCATTTAGAGTGTTAGCTTATTGTGTCATTATCGGAACAATTGTTTTATTAATCAGTTCGTTTAGTTGATGCTGATAAAATAATTTTACTCTTTGTTGCCAAAAGATTTCAGTTTGTTGTTTAACGCTCCACTCAGCAATACTTCAGGTGCACGATTGTGATCTGCATGAAACATTGTCTGGAGCATCTACTCGTGAAGATCTTCAGTAATCCATGCTTGTTGTAAGAGGCGACTAACGAGATCGGGTGGTCAGGCTTGCTGACTTGGTTGGTACATGTCATTGTGTCCCAATTGCGTAGATCGATGCTCATGCTGTTGATCACTGGATTGTCTGGTCCAGACCTGATTACTTACAGACCGCCGCCATACAGCTGGAATATTGCTGAGTGTGGCGTAAAACTTAACTCACTCACTATTCACTTTGTCTTCAGTTCATTTCCACCAAGACATTTAGGTTACAAACAGATTAAGACAGAAAACAGGGAGTTGTCCTTCATTTGACTTGTAGTCTAGCGGCTGTACATAAAGATGGCTGGGTTAATTTTCTAACACTCCAAATTTTCTATATCACGATAAAGCTGATAATTAAACTACAAATACACTGAGACGAACCATAGCTGCACCAGAGCGAACCAGTATAGCACCTCGGACAAAGTAGAAGCAAGGAAGTTAAATCAAGTATACTGACTATAACATCACCCTTGCATCTCGGTACATATCGCCATGTTTACCAGCAAACTGCAGCTTCCTTGGTTCAGAGTTTGTTAAGTCTCATATTGGGGATTAGACTCACATTTACTCCCAGAAATAAAATTATCTGATTAAAAAATATATCCACAAAATAAAAAGTTAAATCCAAATCGAGTCCAGAACAATCCTTAACAATCAATCAATTTCAACAATAATTCCCCAAAATATATTTATCTTATTTAAAATATTCATTTAAAAAAAGAGTTAAATCCAACAATTAATTTAACATTTTGTCAGAGAAAAAATGCTTTATCACTTAAGATAAATATCTACAAACTGAAAAATAATCCCAATGGAGACCAGTAAACTTTTCAATTTCAGGTATTGCGATAAGGCAATATAGACTTGCCAAATCTTTCTAGACTTCAGTTTGACTTATTTTTAATCTATTCTGGGGTTAAAACCAACGATCACAGGCTCCTGGCACACCCAAGGTACGCATCAGCATGCAGCACATCAGACCCATGTACCAAACATATACTGAACCATCTTTCCCTCTCTGTACTTAGGGCAGTACACCCTCTAAGTCACCTCAACATGTAGAAAAGTACATCAGAGAGTGAGTGAGTTTAGTTTTACGCTGCTTTTAACAATATTCCAACAATATCACAGCGGGGTACACCAGAAACTGAGTACAATGAAATCGGTAAGGGATTAATTTAGGTTTCTTAACTAAGTGCACATGCAAATCAAATTTGTAAAGAAAATCATTCTTTTATTCAAAATTGAGATTTTTTTAAGCTCTTTATAAATTTCTTTAAATCAGAAGTATGTCGATATTGTATTTTGAGATTCTAATTCAATGAACAACATAAAACGAAGCATTTGAAAAATCTTCCCGTTTAAGGGTCCTGTTATCAGAGACACACAAGCAACCTCTACAAAGCCATAAAATTAGTTGTTAGGTTACATAGATTATCAGGATTTGTAGGGGTTTTTTATGATTTGGAAATGTTTTACTAACATCTGTTGCAGACATAGTACAGAACATCAGCATGATCAGCCTCTGAGCTGGTCTAGATAACTCCCTGTACGTTCTGCAACATACATGTATTACGGAGTAACACTCAAGTGGGCCAAGATCAGATTATGCTTTCATATTTCTTACATAGTCTGGTTGTTTTTAAGGCACAAGATAAGAACATGAGCCAAAGATAATTTTATAATGTTTATGAAATAACACACCTGTAAAAGCAAAGGTCTCTGCTTCTGAAATCTGTGCCCTGAGCAAACTTGTGAAGGGGAGGTTTCAAAAGAACAAGATAGGGCCAAACCACAGATACCAAGGTAATCATATACACCAGCTGTATATATTCTTCATGAACACATTTTCACACCAGACAAGAAATATATCTGCCTTTTCCCAGTCAGTTCGATCCTTGCTATATAAAATCCTCCAGAAAGCTGAATTTTGTATCTTAACTTTTTTCTCAATTCATTATCATTATCAAGCCAGTTTTTGGTTTCGGAGTATCTAAAAGTGGTGCAAAGTTTTTGAGATGCTCCCTTCCAAACTAAAGACTCTATGGTGATTGGGTTAATTGGATTATCAGATCTGCTGGTATCGTGGTGACAGTTGAGTGACTTGGTTTGATAAAGGCTGTATGCAGTAGTCATGCATGACTGACATCTTTGGAATCAACTGCCAGGTATATTGGTTCCAGACATTGCGTACCAATAAAGCAATTATCATTTGTGAATAAAGATGATTAGAATCAGTGCCACAGGATATAAGTAGGTTCCAACCTTCACCAGTACCGAAATAGATTTTGTTTGCATGGCAATTCACAACCACAACTCACTCAGTGTTTGCTCTTGAGTGGTTTTGTAATGAAATATACATGCTATATACACAAGGGAATATGAAACATACGTGTTTTGTCCACCAACACATCAAATAACAGTTCGTGAGTGCTTGCTAATCTGTCTCAGAGTCCTTAACCATATGATCTCTCCCCCTGGCCAGGCCTTATTATGATGCTATAGTCCACAACTGCGAAATTATAGATTTTCCGGAAGTTTCGAGCCTCCAATCTGTGATTCCTTTTCAATTTCTTTTAATTGTTTGTTTCTATCAAATTATATATCTCTGAGAACAAGCTTTAGTCTTGTAAGCTGGCTTGTGGGAGAAGTTTTGTTACACAATTTATATCCTAAAGACCCATGAGATATAAAGGAATAGTATGCAATGTAGTATACAAGCCATATGAAATGTACAAGCCCCAGACACACAGGAATTGGAAACTGACATGAGATTAATGGCAATCCAATGTATTTCTGTACCCTTTACAACCATTCGAGATAACAACATATAGTGTATATAGTAGTCAGCAAATGACATTTTCTAATCTCTTTTCTCAAATCCAAGCGATATATGCCTACGTGTTGGAATGAGTGATATTGATCTGTGATGATTCATTGACAAGGAAACATCATCGATGACTTGTCCTTTTCTGACAATGCAGTGGAACTTCCATTCAATCCAGATGAAATCAATTCTGAATTTGAGCTTCAGAGGTTATAGCAATTTGGTAAATGTAAACTGTTAGAATGTGCCCCATAAATCAATTGTGAACGATTATGTTATGGGTGAATGGAATTTAATCAGAGCGCTGCATGATCTTTGGCACAGACGAGTATGACAAGAACACCTAAACTCAGACTGACTGACTGAGTTTGGTTTCACGCCGCTTTTAGCAATATTCCAGCAATATCACGGCGGGGGACACCAGAAATGGGCTTCACACATTGTTCCCATGTGGGGATTCGAACCCGGGTCTTCGGCGTGACGAGCCAACGCTTTAACCACTAGGCTACCCCACCGCCCCCCTGAACTCAGATGGTTAAATGTGAACCCTTAACCCTGATACGCCCCAGAAATGTGATTTTCATCAGTAACCTTGGAATACTAACCTGTTTTCAACAATGTTCAAGCACTAGATCATAAATTGATGGTTATATTGAATAATGATCCTACCCAGACATCTTTATATCATTTGTGATGGTTATAACTATTAAAATGTTATAATGTTTAACAACCTAAACAATGTTGCACTTTTCTTCTAATTGTTGATTGAAATCTTTTTGTGACATGACAATTTTTCATTTTTTAACTTTGCTATCGCTCTTTAGACTATATACATTACCTTCGTTTCCATGGCGATATACTGACGAAAATAGAGCTATCCGAATGTGTAATGACATCAGCTATCTCAGAAACATGACCATCTCGTTCTCTGGATGTTTGACATTTCAAGAATATGAACTCAAGATTTACACTGCACGCTCGCGTTTAAATTTCCATTTCTTGTGAAAGCTGCTATTTAGTTCGCCACAAATATGCATGTTGTGTTTGTTTCTTGTGTATCTATTTCAGATCCAAGAAAACTCGCCGGTTTAGCACAGGTGGCTAAGTTAACTGACAAAGAAATTAACATTGACAACTGCACATTGACACTGTCACGCGTGCCGTGGATACTGTGTTGCCCACTCGGTCGCTCCCATGGCGTTGGATTTTCATCATGATTTGTGAAATCAACGTGTGTTTGCATTTATGTCACTGTCACAGTGAAATATACACTTCTGCATTTCATCTCAGTACAAAGAATATGAAAGAAATATCGGTTCGTACTTACAACTGAGCAAGGTACTGCTGCACCCAGTACAAGCATTCTCCTTCGATTTCTGATGTCAACACAAAATCCCAAATCAATCTTATTGGTGGGTCATCTTCATCAGTTACAGAAGTGTCTATTTCATTACAAAATTTATCCAGAAACTTCCTGAATGAGGAGAGCAGTTCAGCTCGCTGGGACCCCTCCATCCCGTAAACAAGCACTGTCACACCATACTCGAAGAAAAGCTTATATGTGCACATAAAGCAGTGACGTCACAGCGACAGGCAGCGGCGCCATTTTCGAAACATGTGCGTGATGGTGTTTGTAAACAGAACATATGTTGACGGTATATGATCAAGGAATTTGACGTCATGTTTGATCATTGTCAGCCTGATAACCCGGTTTATCCATAGTTTGATTTGTTAATGAGATTATTGAACTGTTTGGTTGTAACAGTGCGCAGTGACGTGGCGACTGACAGCTAGTGTCGTGCACTGACCTTGACAGCTGAAACTTTCAGCACCAGGAATTCGGAAACATATCACAGATTACCCACTGGTAAGAAGTGTCATGCGAAAATTCCCACAGGGAAGTTGCCTTCCTCGTGTATTTTCATGACAAATGTGTACTTTTCCGGTGCACTTTTAGGCGCTCGTTTTCTAGTTTTACATAGCTCTTTCTCAAAACACCAGATCTTGCCCACGAATTATGAACTTTTAATGAAGGGATAAAGTCATTATCACAGATGTTTGTATTGAACAGGTATACCCATTTTATTGATCTGTGAATAATTACACATACAGACTATAGAGTGCATTCACTTCGTCCAATATCACCATATAATTTTTTTAAATTATTTTTACCTACAGCATGATTCCTTACATGAAGTCCCAATAGGCCATTTCATCCTCTCGGCTAAACTTGTATCTATCACTACTAAGGATGGGTTCTTTAGGGACTGGTCTATGATGGGCACTTCAGCTACACAGTTAGAAGCCCCTGTTAGCAGCTATAGACCCCTAGGATGTCAGTGTTCACAATTAGAAGTGAAATTCAAGGGTTCCTCATGACCCCTCATGATGTAAATGATTTAATGAGTTCTGAGATTAAACAACATATAGGAGAATTAACATATCACGAACCCCGGGACCACAACCAAACTCTGAATACACACACATATTTCTTTATATTCCCCATCCAAATGACACTGCTGTGTGATTACACCACAATGTAGCTAATTAATTGCTCCCTAATTTTAATTACTGCACAGTGTAGCTGATTGCATGGTAATTATAAGTACTTCACCAAAGAACTCATTGATTTACATAACCCCATTCATACGATCAGTTTAAATGAACTCATTAAGCAACATTGATAATCCTACCTTCTGATTTATTATTATCAATTTTGGATAACTGTCTGTTTTTGAAATACTGAGGGAAACAGTTAAATGTGGATATCCTATTTAGAAAGTTACCCTTTTATCTTTTTTGATTGCCATCTTAGAACGTGATGAATTCTTGGCTCCGAATCAACCGCTACAACAAATGGTGGGGTAGCGTAGTGGTTAAAGTGTTCGCTCATCACGCCAAAGACCTGGGTTCTATTCCCCACATTGGTACAATGTGTGCAGTGATTTACAGGACGCGAATTCCTGCGTCCTATACGCATAAAATTGACAATGGACGCAACAAAATTTTCAGCACATCCACAGGGACGCAGAAAAAGTCCAAATACTTTTTTGTAAAAATTCCAATCAAGTAACAATAGGTTATCACAGAGTTTGCTACTAGCTGGGTTATGGTGTCATTTGCAATAATTACTGTAACAATGTGATGATCATGATACACAATACAAAAACAGTATTAATAATAATGTTTAAGTGTCTGGGACCCCATTTTGTTGTCCAGGACTCCTGAAAATTAAGAGTATGAGTCCCAGGGACCCTCAAATACAGGACTCAAAGTAAATCCCTGTGTGTGAATCCCATTTCTGGTGTCCAGGACTTGATGTTGCTGAAATATTGCTGAGAAAAGCCATACTCATGTACTCACTCCAATAATATAAGTGCTATATTGTTTTCTTAGATGAACCTAATAACACTTCATCTGTAGTTGTGATGATAAACCACAAAAATAAATATGCAGGGCTCCAGATAATTTTTCAACATCAGGAGTACGTACTCCATATTTTTTCACTACAGGAGTACTGGAAAACCTTAGAGTACATTTAGAGTACTGAGTGGAATTTAATGGCGTATCAGTAATCTTGTGTTTCGTTTCATATATGCACCACAACATTGCTAGTCTTGTGTAAACAGGTCAGTAAACAATAAAACAATACTTTTTCAGATAAATACGTCTGTAAATGATTCTAAGACCATACACCATTGCTGTGGTGCGTACCTGCTATGTTTTCTAAATTATTTGCTACCGTATCATGCATATTTTGTATCCGTACATACGCCGATACGGCCCTTATCTGGAGCCCTGAATATGTGAGAACAAAAATAGTGTGATGTCATGTAAATGGTTTTATATATATTAGTTCCCAGGATGCCGACTCCCCGCAGCCTAGGGACGTTCCCCATCAGCCCTGCAATGAAGGCTAAGTTGACCACCGCAGGCTTCCTGACCGTCTCCGATCTGCAGGACCTCAAGCCAAGCGAGCTCAGCAAGGGTGGGGAACATTGTTGTGTACAGGCTCAGGGATTTACCTGAACAGGCTCAGAGTCTCATATTCAACCTTCCGTCTGCATGCAGAAAATGTCTCTTGGAGTGAATGCATGATTAAGGTTTAAGCTGCTTTGAACATAAGCTGACCATAAGCTCAGACATACAATTTTTGTTGAAAGTATATGATACTGAAGCACGAAAACTGAACTCGGCGGCCAGTAATCTCTGTACATGTTGAGAATCAATTTATGGGTAAGCGTACCATGCACTTTGTTATGTTGTGATTAGTGTTGGGAATTGGTTAAAATCTCATAATTGATGATTGGTTGTGATGCCTCAAGCGAATTGAGACACCCTATGTATACAGCATTTTGTTTGTACTTAGAGTTAGGCGTGACTGCTGAAGCGGCCCTCGAGGTCATCAAGACAGTGTTCCAGGAGGACACAGGGGGGAGTGGCAGCAGGAGGTCGTCGACAATGAGGTCAGTCACGGCGTTGGAGATGTTGCAGGTTGAACAGAGTCTTCCAAACATTTTCACCTTCTCAGAGAAACTTGATGACATCCTAGGTGGAGGTGTACCTCTTGCCAAAATCACAGAGTTCTGTGGTGCCCCAGGAATTGGTAAAACCCAAGTTTGGTAAGTTGGAGAGGTGAGGTGAGGTGAAATTGGATTTAACGTCGTGCTTGAGAATATTTCGCTCATATGACGACGTGCATGCGTGTGTGTGTGTATGTGCGGCTGCTTGTACTAGCCCAGGCTGAAGCTGGTTTTATAGTGCTAGCCCACTGAGATACCATGCCGCAGTGAAGCATGGATACCCCACTCAGACACATTATACTGACTCCAAGCCGACCAGTCCTTGTTGTACCCATTAATGCCGAGCGCCAGGCAGGGACCAACAAGTACCATATTTTAACGTCTTTTGGTATGACGCGGTCGGGGATCGAACCCGCGACCTTCTGCTCTCCGGGCGGATGCTCTAACCACTACACCACGGAGGTGGTCGGTAAGTTGGTGAGGAAACACATCCAGATGTATAACACTTCTCTGTATGGAGGCCATTCTGTACATGTGTCTCACCAGTAACAGTACAGTGAGTGACATCATGAGTATAAATCTGCTGCGTTAGCATAAAATGACACACACAAACCAAGTCAGTAAGCCGGACCACCCAATCACCTTTGTTGCCTTCTACGATTGGTTGGTTTGATTGTTGTTAAACACAGCACTCAGCAATATTCCAGTTATATGGCTGTGGTCTGTAAATAATCGAGTCTGGGCAAACAATCCAGTGATCAACAGCACGAGCATCGTTTAATGCAAATTTGTATGCCATGACATGTGTCAACCAAGTCAGCGAGCATGTCCACCCGATCCCGTTAGTTACCTCTTACGACAAGCATGGGTTACTGAAGAACAATTCTACCCGGGATCTTCAGGGGATTCTCAAGTGGCTTCCTCATTCAGGCTTCAGAAATACTTGTATTTGGGTACCAATGGCTCACTCAGAATAAGACACTGCTGCCTGAATGTCATACTTTGAAATACATTTACTTAACAGAGATACATTGTGACATGTTTTGATATAATGTACCTTTGCACACATTAATAATAATAATAATAACTAGGATTGTTCAAATAAAACTCATTTTGACTCTGTACTTACCATGTGTACTAACGCAGACTTGTTCTTATCACTATATGGCTGGCTGGAATAAAAGCGGCGACGTAAAGCCCAACTCAACTCAACCCAACCTTTAAAAAAATTACTGTGGTGCGGTTAAAGGCGGGGTTCCAACCTGAGATTAATTTGGCATTGATTCAATGCTGCTGGCCACAAACGGAAAATTCACAAACTGCAGAAAAACATATACTATAAGAGAGATTACTGGTACATGTTGCAGACTGCTGGAGAGATCACATCCTGGCAATTCCAGAGCACTAATTCTTTTTAATGTAGACTTATGAACAACAGAGTTACGGCCTTTTAAAGAGGGAACTATTTCTGTGGGCACTGGAAAACCAGGACACGGGCAGTGGTGCTAGATTTTACGACACTTCCTCCAGCTATCTCACAACTGAAAAAATGCGAAATCCTAATGTCCCTCACTGTTTGTGGCGTAATTGTGGCGTAACTATTGACTTTTACATAATGATAATGTGAAGCAAAATTGTTCCACATTTTATTGTCTACAGTTTGGTACCTTCAAAAAGAAAATCCATTGTGTTTTCGCAGAGCTGTGAACCCTATAAAAATGCGTTTGGCCAAAAATTGACCAACTTCCAAGGGCAATAACTCCGACACTGTTCAAGATATCGATATGCATTGAACAACCTAAGTAGTCCAGAGTGTGGGCTTTAAAACGATATATAGAACACTATTGTACTATTTGCCGTTCAGGAGCAGAGGATTGTTAAACAGAGGCACCGGCAAAAAGGTGCAGAAATTTCTTAATCGCTAAGGCTGTGTTTAAGGCCGTAATGGTGACGTTATTATTGATTTTTCATAACCATGATGTGAAGCAAAAATGTTTCCCTTCAATTACCTACAGTTTGATACTATGGAAGATGGAATTCATTGATTTTTCGCAGAGTTGTGACCTCTTTCTTAACCCTATAAAAATGCGTCTTAAAAAATAAGACCTAATAATTGGCTTGTATAGTGCCTAGTTTACATCATAGATGTTCAACGGCGCTGCATACATCGTTAAAAACACAATAAGTGTGAAAAGAGTTCTATTCAGAAGCCATCTTGAAGAAGTAGGTTTTGAGCAAGTTCTTGAATAATGAATGGGACTCAGTTCGTCTGAGGGTGACTGGAAGATTGTTCCATAGAGCTGGTGCTGCTACAGAAAAGGCTCTATCACCCATGGAGGTTTTAGTGCTGGGCTGTGTTAGTCTTAACGTATCTATTGATCTAAGAGCTCTGGTGGCTACATGCAGATGTACAAGCTGGCGAAGGTAGTCACAGGACTGGTCATCGTAGAGGCAGTTATGAGTCAGTAGCAGAATCTTGAAGTAGATCCTGTACTTTACTGGAAGCCAGTGAAGGGATTTCAGAACTGGCGATATATGGTCATGGCGATGGGTTCGAGAGACCACACGAGCTGCTGCGTTTTGAATTTTCTGCAATTTAGAAAGTGTTGAAGATGCCGTGTTGCAAAAGAGTGAGTTGCAATAGTCCAGCTTTTAATTGTACAAACACATATAATGACCTTTAACTTAAGAATCTTCTAAATGTTTAATGTTTATGATTAGAACAAAAAGAGCTATTGTTTGTACTATGTGTCAATTGCAGCATGCAGCTCGGCATTGATGTCCAAATTCCTGAATGTTTCGGTGGTCTGGATGGAGAGACTGTTTACGTAGACACAGAAGGGAGTTTCATTGTTGAGCGGATGGTGGACATTGCATCTGCTACAGTTGAACATTGTAACAATATCGCACAAATGGATGGCTCAGACGGTGAGTTGAACATCATAATTACGTCGTAATAATCTCTAATACACAAGCAGCAGTGATATAGACTCTCAGTTGTCACTGTATATTACAAAATGTCATAATTATAAAGAAAACTTGCAGTTGGTTTTGGAACATTTTGTATTTTAATTCTTAAGAAAAATACCCGAGAAGATTGGGGTTAGAATTGTTCTTCAGTAACCCATGCTTGTCATAAGAGGTGACTAACAGGATCAGGTGGTCAGGTTTGCTGACTTGGTTGACACTTGTCATTGTATCCTAATTGGGTTGATTGATGTTCATGCTGTTGATCACTGGATTGTCTTGTCCACACTCGATTATTTACAGACCACTGCCATATGGCTGGAATATTGCTGAATAATGCATTAAACAACAAACCAATCTTAAGAAAAATCCACCAAGACTCATTGAGTTGAAAGACCTGGAAGAGTTACCTCCCTTTAGAAGTGATTACTTATTAAGTTATTTTGGAACTGCAGATTCTCATATCAGCTGTTCTCAGGTCAGCACTCAACAAAGAACAATGTTGGATATTGAGCACTTGTAAAAGACTTTGCAGTTGAAATGTAATATATATAATAATAATCATTTAATAAAATACCTTGTGATTATCTTTGAAAATGTGGAAATGAAGAACATATTGACAGGCTAAATGAACTCAATTTTATTTACCCAGTGGCACACACATGGAAGTATTAATGATGATTGTGTATATCAATAGTAAACATATTTCAACATTTTAACTCACTTAGTAATATATTTGTAACAGAATGAAATGTTACTAAGAAGTAATGCGGAAGTGTCAAAAGTAACAGTGTTGTTATTCAGATTGTGATCATGAAGTGTTTGTGAACGCACACGCACACACACACACACACACACACACACAGACAGACAGACAGACACACAGAGAGAGAGAGAGCACCGATATCCAGCTCACTTGCTCAAAGGCACTTTGTTTTTCCCCCGATCACTGGATGTCAATCTCAATGGCACGTTGTATTATCAATTTCAACTCCCTGGGGACCATACAACTACATACAGGCAAGGAGGAATTAAAGATTCCCAGTTAACTACATTCTGAACCTTGGCAAGGAACTTTCACCTTATTTCATTAGAGACAGATAATCCAAACTTCCAAGATATGAGTAGGTTATTCTTGATATTACCAATTGTCGTTTGTTCTTTAGAAGTGTAGAAAGTGTGGGTTACCTGATCTATTGTAAGTAAATTGTCATATAACATTAACACTGGATGATGTCATCTTCAGTTATTGGCGATTTTGTGTTCATTTGGATGGTGGTCTCTTCAACAAATGGTGAAAGTTGTTGTAATGGTCAGTGATACTTATGAAAACCTCCCGTATTATTGCAGTTATATGTGGCTGCTGACTCGTGAAATGTATTTATTCCAGATGTGAAGAGGCTGCCAGCAACTTTAATTTAGAAAAACTGTTATCGGGGATCCACTATTTCCGTTGCCATGACTACATAGAGCTTTTGTCCACTGTACACCTATTGCCAAAATTTCTTTCTGAGCATAAAAAGGTAAGAATTCGGACATCCAGTTCTACGAACAGCCCTGCCAGGCTGCCCAATTCTAATATGTTGGTATCAGCTATTATGAGTGGGCTTGAATATTTCAGCAGTGAATAGGTAACAAGATGGTCATAATGTGTTTTACCCTTTATCACGCAGTTTGGATTAACCATGGTAATACATGTATAATAATAATGTCTGTGAGGTGCGTGTGATTTATTAGGCACTCTACAAATGTATTGATTTGTGGATGGATGGATGGGTGAGTGAACAGAAGGATGATAAAGGGGTGGGATAAAGGGGTGGGATAAAGGGGTGGGTGAATGGATGATGGATGGGTTATAGATGTAACATATGTTATAGTTGGAATTACACTTTCTCAGTAAAGTACGGATTCTTGTACTTTTTGGTGGCTTGATTCCCATCCAGGATTCGAACCCACATCCTCAGAGTCAGGCACTCAGCCACCGTGACTTCCACAGGAAAGTGTTATCCCAAATATAACATGTTACGTTTGACCACTTTCTAAATGGCACTGTGGATTATAAATGGGCAGATGGATGGTTGGGTGGGTGGATAGATGGATGGATGGATGGATATATATCGACAGATGGATTGATATATCAATGGATGGATGGATATATCGATTGGGCGGATGGATGGATGGATGGATGGATGGATATATCAATGGATGGATGATATATCGATAGATGGATGGATGGATGGATGGATATATCGATGGATGGATTGATATACTAGTATCGATGGATGGATGGATAGATATATGGATGGATGGATGATAGATATATCAATGGATGGATGGATAGATATATCAATGGAAATATGGATGGATGGATGGATATATATATCAATGGATAGATGGATATATCAATGGATAGATGGATATATCGATGGATGGATGGATAGATATATCAATGGATGGATGGATATATCAATGGATGGATGGATATATCAATGGATGGATGGATATATTGATGGAATGATGGATGAATGGATGACTGAGTGAGGGTAAATAACCATGGGAAGGAGGGAGGGAGAGAAAAGTGACCATTCCTCAATTTACAGATTAGAAAGACATTATTATAACTCATTCATCAAATAATATTAGGAGGATATATATTGATATATTGATTGCCAATCGTTTGAGCAGGTGAAGCTTGTCATAGTGGACAGTATCGCATTCCACTTCCGTCATGATTTTGACGACATGTCGCTGCGAACACGCCTCCTCACATCCATGGCCCAGAGCTTCATCAGGCTGGCAACAGAGCACAAACTAGCTGTGAGTCAGTGCAGTACTGCTCGTGAATAGTCGACACGATAACCTGTTATGGGATAAAGTTCTTTTGTTTCTTTATGCAACTTGATCAAGTCAAATGCAAGTATTGTTACTTGATTCAGTTCTCCGATTCACTATTATTATTTTTTGTATCATAGGGACGGTGGGGTAGTCTAGTGGTTAAAGTGTTCGCTCATCATGCTGAAAATCAGGGTTCGATTCCCCACCTGGGTACAATGAGTGAAGCCCATTTCTGGTGTCCTCTGCTGTGATTGTTGCTGGACTATTGCTAAAAGCGGCATAAAACTAAATTGACTCACTCACTTTGGTATCATCTACACAAGTGGCAGGAAAGTTGCTGATGCGGCATAAAGGAACAGTTATTTATTTATTCTCTGGTATCAGGGACAAAATTCAAATATGGTCAGATATCTCCCAGGGGGTAATGGCTCCTTTAAGATCATCACATTTGTTTAGGAATTTGCATACAGATTCAAGTGTCTCGGTTGTTGAGGCAGTTGCTTCCTTAACTGGAAACCCCAAGTTGAATCTCATAAAATTAGATCATAGTTCACACTCATGTCAGACCAGAGGTTGCTTACTAGATCAGTCAAGTAGCAGTGGTTACGTTTTTCAACCATGCGACCACAAAAAGGTTAATTCTTAATGAGAGCTACAAGCTGTACAAATTATATCATCGAAATCATTGTCTGTTTCTCCTTTCAATATTTCAAAGGGAAGAGAACCTTTTTTGAAAAATAATTCAATCTTGGCATTCCAGAACATTTGTTTGTTCATTTATTCAAAGTGTATTGGGGTAGCAAGTGGTTAAAGCGTTGCTCTGGAATGGAAGTTGCCCATACTCAGTCAGCAGTCAGTCAAAGTGTAAATGGAAGTTGCCACTAGTGTCATAAAGCAAGAAAATTCCATTTTGATTGGCTAATGCTGACTCCTCACAAGTCAATTTATTGGCTGATCAAAGTTTATGATCAATTCTGAACGGTGGCACAGAGGTTTACATAAATACCATTTAAACAGTTAAACAGTCCTTAAACCCAGGTCACTCACTCACATACATACATGTTTCAGGTAGTGCTGACCAACCAGATGACCACCAAGATGGGTGGGGGTGCAGCTGGGGGTTCCCACCTAATCCCCGCCCTGGGGGAGAGCTGGGGACACGCCAGCACCATCAGGGTAGTGCTGTACTGGGAGGGCAATAACAGATACGCCCTGCTCTACAAGTCACCCTCAAAGAAAGAAGCTGTGGTGCCGTTCCAAATTACGGTAAGTTAATATCAGTTGGTCATATTAAGCCTTTTACAGTCATCCCTCACCATTATACAGGTCTCAGGTCCATGAATCACTCTACATTATCTGAATTTGGTTAGGTATCTCCCTTATGCAAAATGTACATTAAAGCATGACAGCTAATTCATGTCTATTGGGTGAAGTCATTCTGCTTCAGAAACGAAAAAAAAAAGATTTAAAAAAACTTTTAATGAAACTTTTCTGTTATGTGCTCCGTTCATGTACAGTTGTTCCTGGGGTGGTGGGGGTAGCCTAGAGGTTAAAGCGTTAAGCTCATCTGAAGACCGGGTTCAATTCTGAAGACCCGGGTTTGATTCCCCATATGGGTACAATGTGTGAAGACCCATTTTTAGTTGTGCAATCAGCTGCGTCCCCATTCCGCAAGGCCTCGGGTAATATTGCTGGAATATTGCTAAAATGAGACAGAACTCAGTCATGTTAAACCCAAAGTCACTCACTCCATAAGTTGAATCAGTTGTCCCCGTGTTCTGATTGGATTAATTAGTTTCAGATGGAAATATGGGTGGTATGACAAGTAACCTCTGTGGGAAAGAGAATGGGGTACAATGTGAAGCCCATTTCTGGTGTCCCCACCGTGATATTGCTGGAATATTGCTAAGGTAAACCCAAAGTCACTCACAGAGTGTCATGGAGTCATCAGGAGACAACCCACCCAGAAGGAGGGAACCCACCCAAACGCCAGAGAGTCTCATGACATGAGTGTTTGACAATACCTACCTGTGTTAGTAAATGTGCATGATGAAAGCAATCTTACATACTATACTCCAGCCATATAGACCTATGAACAGATGAGGAACAAGACGAGAATCTGGCTGCTATGATGAGTGACCTATGATAAGTGTCATCAGAACCTGATGATCTGGCTCCCTCCCAGTGTTTGCAATACTTTAATTTGACAGTTGGCCATCAGGGCCTGGTGCCTCCTGCAGGCTTTATCTACAGGCCCTGAATGAAATCTGCAGGCCCGTTTTGTTAAGGTCAAACCAATAATACAAAATAGACTACACTGTACACAATTTCACACTGTTTCTACAAAATCAGTTAACGCAACCCTATGGTTGAGAACTTGACATTCCTATGCGGAAAACATTGAAGCCAGGAAGTGAAACTGTAAGTTATCGTAATATGATGGATCATGGATGATTTACGAACCTTATTAAGAACGAAATTATGGGAAAGATTCAAGGTGAAAAAAAAATGACAAATAATTTACAGAAGGCACAAGGGCCTGTAAATATTTCAAACTGCCGGCGAGATACAGTAACAACCGGCGATGGGCCTCCGGGACGGCGATTATTTTGAACACTGCTCCCTGCTCATGCTGTTAACTTGTTGGTCTGAACAAGATGTGATTGTTTTGTCATATAGGATATTGCTATGTCAAGTAACAAGGATTCGACAGTTTGCCCAAAGCAGTGTGTTGCACAGGTACTGAGTAAATGTCCTGAGAAGTGAGGTGATGTCCAGTTAAACATTGTGTTCAAGATTACTGCACTGATCTCGTGATGTGCATGTATAGGTGGGATTGTTATGCAGCTGCTGGCACAAGTCCGATTAATGCCACTGCTATAGTGCCAGTGCCAGCCCATACTGAGTTGCAGTCTAACAGATATTCTCATGAAAACAGGGGCAGTGGGGTAGCCTAGTGGTTAAAGCGTTGGCTCGAGTTCGAATCCCCACAAGGGCACATTGTGTGAAGCCCATTTCTGGTGTACCCAGCTGTGATATTGCTGGAATATTGCTAAAAGCGACGTAAAACCATACTCACTCACTCATGAAAACACATCCTCGGGTATACGTTACCATCACTCTCCACAATACCCTGGATGCATCCACAATTTGGCCTGATGATTTTATTACCTCCCTTGGCTGGCTTTATATCCAATCAGGTGTCTACGCTGGGAAGTTGAGCAAACCAATCAAAACTCACTTTTGCTTCTTAAATTATCTAACCATTTAAACTTGGCAGCACAGTTGATGCAGAGGTATTCGTAAAGAGGTAGGAGGAGTTCTTTCATACATTTTTTAAAGTTTCAAATCTGTGAATTTGTCTGCATGATTTCCTAAAAAATCTGAGTGGCACTGCGAACAAACCTTCGCGACTGTGACCGCTATCTTTGTTGACACTGGCAAACTCGGATGTAACAGCAACTTAGCTGATTGGCTACTGTGAGAATGCGGAGCCAGCAAAGGGAGGTAATATAATTATCGGGCCAAGCCGTGGATGCATCCAGGGTATAGTGGAGAGTGATCATAACGTATACCCTGGAGATTATCGAGGATGATGAAAACAGTATACTGACGCAAACTGGTCCTTGTTTTATCACCTTAATGCCTAGTGCCAGCAAGGTAACAATAAGTACCATCTTCAGGGCTTGAAAAATTCAAAAATCTGCACTCGCCCTGTAGGGCAAATAGCATGAACTTTCCATTCGTCCTTCTAAAATTGTACTTTCCCTATAGATCATGCATCACAATGAATATAAATTTAATTTAGTTTATTTTCAAAATGTTTGAAATAAAACTACAATAAACATTTCTTACTTTGCCTTCTGTACAAAATCTTTGACAAAATTGAATTTGTTCACCATTTAAGATAGCTGAACTTCAAGGAAAAAGAAAAATATTACTTTTGGGTCAGAAAACGTACTCGTCCTCTAGGACGAGCAAATTATGTTTTTCACTTGCTCGAAACAAATTTTACTTGTCAATACGAGTGGACGAGTGGAATTTTTTAGCCCTGCATCTTGATATGACATAGATCTCCAGGGAGATGCTCTGTCCACTACACCATGAAGATGGTCCTTCTAGACAAGCAATACATGTATTGTTAGTTGTATGCAAACATCTTATAAGGTGCTGGTTGCATCTCATGTTAATAGGACAATCATGTGACTATTTGTGATTGTCGGTAAGGTAATATCCACGTGAAACTACCATCAATACTAGATGACTCTATCCTTATGTACATCGTGACATGGTTTTGTTATTAAATTGTTTATGTTTTCAATCAGTACATGTTGGTTGTTTCCAAACAGTGTGAAGATGTCTCCTGAAAGAGACGTTTGTACTTGAAAATCGATCTTCGTTAACAGAATGTGAAAATTCTAGTTGATTTGACCAATGAGGTCTAATCCTGAAGCAGCTAGAACATTTTGGCCAGAACAGATTCTTACCTGGAATCATAACAGGTTGTTACAACAGGGAAAACTCACAGTTCAAATAATGACATACAGTAGTTTATTTACAACTCTATATTATTCATCATTATACATACACTCTGCAGAGCATCATTGACATGATTTAGAACATGATAAATAGTTTACCAAAACACTTTTCAGCCAAAACACATTGCTGACACAAAAATGTTATCGATTTACACAGCTGACAAAATATTTCATTGCAAGAATATGCAAATTTCTGAAATACTGACTGTACATTTAACACAAATTTACATTCAGCTCTGTTAAGAAACTTATATTATTTCTTTTTTCCCTTGGGAGAGCTAGGACTCTTCTTGGGTGAGGTACTACCGTCGGTCAACTCGATCTTCTTGTTGATGCTGTCCTCAGTAGATTTTAATCTGCTCCTCCACTGACATCTTCATCTTCTTTATCTCCTCTGACAGGAACGTCTGGATCATCGTCCGCAACTCCTTCTTGGCTGGAGACTCCTCTGTTAAAACACATGGATTTTAGTTGTGGTACACCTGCATTTCACTGGACTCTCTGGCATGTTTGTTTGAAGCTATTAATATAGCAAGTGTTGATATTCGAAAAATAGGGCAGTAGAAAATCCAAATCCACTTGCATTTAGTGTGCTTAATATTATTAAATCTTGAGTGGACAGTCTTCTGTTAAAGAGAGTTATACATCTAATTTGGGTTCATGGGTCAAAAGGCAATTTAACGCATCTGGTTTGTCATATCTGAGTATAAACAATGATAAACATAGGACTGACTGACTGAGTTTGGTTTTATGCTGGTTTAAAGTAGCAATATTCCAGCAACATCTAAATGGTGTTGTACCCATGTGCAATGCGAAATCAGGATTTCCACTACCCCTAACCAATCAACAACATAGGAGTTTGTAGGAACTCTTAAGGTGAGTGCAAGGAAATCAGGATTTCCACAAAACCAAGTTTAACACAAGGTTCAACTATATATATTGCATGAAAACATGGTATTGTTGCAGTGTATTGTGGGTAAGTAGCACTACCTTTCTCTTCAGACTTGTCTGCTCCACCTTCTGCACCACCATCCCTCTTCTGGTTTCTCCTCAGTTGTCTCCCCTTCCTTTGCCTCGGTTTCATCTGCCTTGTCTCCAGCTGTCGATTGTACAAAAAGCCCATTTTTAGGAATCTTTTCCTCTTACTGAGTTTGAACACTGGTTTGTTTGGATATATGTATATTTAAGTTCATCGGCACTCATTAGTTTCACCAAAAAGGTAAATATCTGAGGCCAACATCGCTTAAGGCTCTCTTTTCACATTAAGTTGACATACCTCAATACAATTAGAAACCTAGTTAACTAAACTGTTAAAATCAGTCTCCAACCCAAATCACTTACTCATTTTATCACATAGATTAAATATTAACTCCCACTATTTATTCCTTACTATTGATTAATGTGAGGGGATTCCACATATCACAGCACACCACCAAGCTAAGATACATATGCATATTCCGATATATTTGTGTGCATTCAGTCTACAGAAAGGTACTTGGTGTAGGTATCTACAACTCCCTTAAACCATGCCCGTTTCCACTGGTTGACTATTCTGCTTGATACATACCTTCAGAAGGTGGGGGAGATGGCATGGGAAGCCCGATGTAGTTTATTGCCAGGTCCAACTTCACCTGAAACCAGAACAGAATCATACACAAATGATTCCCCTTGACGAGGTCAGTATGCTCAAATTAAGGGCCCAAGCACCTGGGCACCGTTCCTCAAAGCGATCGTAACCCTAAGGTGATCGTAACTCCCATACTTTAACATAGACTTATGACAGTCGTAGCACTACGATTGCTTTGAGGAACAGGGCCCTGAGCTCCGTTTCACAAAGCTCTCATGAACCTAAGATCTCTTAACTTTTCTCGTAGCATTCGTACTCCCTATGTTACAGTATAGGAGGTACAAATGCTACAAGAAAAGTTACGAGAACTTAGGCTTACAAGAGCTTTGTGAAACGGGGGCCCAGATCCCTGAGGTGGACTGACTGGACCATGGCCAGGACTTGACCCTCAGGTGGTCACGTGATTTGGGAGTCTACATTGAATTACATGGTATATATGTCGCTACATGGTATATATTAACCAACAAAATTGATTCTTAGTACCAGTGTTAGGAATTGGTTGAAATCTCACAATTGATGATTGGTCCTTTACCAACGAGCAATCATCAAAAAATATTGGTTAGCGTCATTTTTCAGATTTTTCTGTTCCCACAGGTCTCCAGAAATATTCAGTCATGACTTTTCAGAAAGTGATGTGAGTTTTCTAAGAATTTAACAAGTTTTCAAGCCCTGAGAACATCTAAGGTATGTTCCATTGTCAAGTGTTTGAAACACTAAAACTGTAGTTCCAAAATCGATTATGTTCGATTATGAGAAAATGTGATCGATTGCTTGGCCGTTTCGTCATTGCAACCAATCTTTGATGATTTCAGTTAATCTGAACACCACTACTTAATACAGATATCAAAACTGTTACTGTTGCACTAACAACTTGCAGTACTGATTTAACTTTACAATAAAACTAATCAATTAAACATAAATCACTTTTTCTTTTAACCTATCAAGAAACGAAATGTGATAACCTGTTTATAATGTGAAAACTATAGACAATTTACAAGGTATAAAACGTGCTTCTCTTAAGTACGTGAATAGATGTTAATAAATGTAATGTCTAATACTTAATGGTTATTTGACTCTGGCTAAGGCCTACTGCAGACTACTGCCAACCAACTAATTATTTGCCATCGTCCTAAACCAGACCAAAAACCTCAGATTTCATGTGCAGTCATGTGACAGTATGTTCACATGCCCTGAGGGGTGGTGGGGTAGCCTAGTGGTTAAAGCGTTTGCTCGTCATGCCAAAGACCCGGGTTCGATTCCCCACATGGGTACAATGGGTGAACCCCATTTTTCTGGTGTCCCCCGTTGTGATATTGCTGAAATATTGCTAAAAGTGGCGTAAAAACTAAACTCACTCACTCTCTCACTTGCCCATACAGGTACATAGGGTATATTTGGGCAAACAGTTTAGTTAGTAAAACCAAAACATGTCTTCATCAGATCAGGCCTGTTAGTCTGTTGAATACCAGAACACAACTTCTTGATTTGACAAGCACCAATAAGCAGTACCTTCCTACAAGTTAATGACCTTCATTGCCAGAACCTTTCACCACTCAGAGTCATCAAACTCGCTCCCCTACACCTCAGATGTACCCCTTTAATCCCAATCCAATTGTGTAGATCAATACTCATGCTTTTGATCACTAGATTTTCTGGTCCAGACTTTATTATTTACAGACTGCGCCATACAGCTGGAATATTGCTGAGTGCGGTGTAAAACTGAACTCAATCGATCAAACTTTAATCCAAACTGAAGATTCATGTATTTCTGCAGATCATTTCTATTATACTTTTACTTGAACAGTTTTGTCTATCAAACTTAAATTCAAACTCTCGCTTGCTCACACCAACAATCTGGTTTCTGAATTTCCCATTGGCCGTTAGATATCAGTTTGTGGAGTTATGGTGCATGTCTTACTGTCATGTCTATGGTAGACCCATTTCTGGTGTCCCCCGCCATGATGTTGCTGGAATAATGCTAAAAGCGGCGTAAAACCAAACTCAGTCAGTCAGTCTATGGTAGACTCACCAGGGGTGTGAAGGCGTACTTGTACATCTTGAAGTGGCGGAAGTAGGTGTTGATGGTGTACTCTGTAATCTTCCTCACCTCGTCAGCACTGAACAGCTCGATGCTGTGTGGTGGACGCTGGAACAACAAGCCGACTTACAGATAGCTTTATGGGATAACAACCTGCCTTAGTAGAAAGTAGTAGGATAGCATCATACATTAGTGCTTATCTTTGTAAGATAACAACCTGCCTTAGTAGGACTTTTTGTTTTGTAGGATAACAACATGCCTAAGGGCATATCTTTGTAAGATAACAACTTACATTGACAGCATGACAGAGTATCAGAGCTTTGAAGTAGTTGAAAGTCTGGTCAAGATTTCCAAATGGGGTTTCTGAAAACAATCATTAACATTTAGTGGTAATAAATGTATATGAGATTGTCAAAATGCTGATACATGCAAACTAATTATGCTTACATCAAGTTAGCAAAAGACTCTACACAAAAGTTTGACTACCCTCTGCAGTCTATCCCAAAGGTTTAACAGCAATTCAAATAGGAGAGGGAACAGGGTTTCTGTTCTCCATGTAGATGCTCTATTCACTTGACAATGGAGGTGTTCCTATTTGCTGATACCCAACAGAACATGATAGGGGAGCTGACAACTCATGGGACAAAGGTTAAAAGGATCTTGCTGCTCCTAAGGGATACAACTCTCCATGGTTAAGTACCCTGCCTCAAGCCACTGACATGACTCTAAAAGGCTGCCCCATTAAATAGTTTTCATGGGTGGAGACAAACTAATACAAAGTTTAACTGAAGGTAACAGTCACTTTCTAATATATAGTGAGAGGCACACATCAGGTTTATATGACCAGGAAAAATATTTTCCAATGATTCGAAATGTACAAATAAGGAAAGTAGCCATGACAGATTTGAGCATGAATGATATTAAAAACACAGCCTCATCAATTTACTGAGGAACTGTTTTGTTACCGATGCAGACTTCATGGGTCTTCTTGATGATGGAGAAGAATGCTGATGTCTTCTCCCTGCTGAAGCCGTTATCACGGGCAAACTGGAGTGTGTAGTAGTACAAGTCCATGATGATGCCGGTCTTGAGGTCATCCCGATGGTCACTCAGTCCAAAGATGTCGGACAGGACACTGAAATATACATACTCTACAGTCAGCTAAATATCTCACAGTTTATTTGATGCCAATGAAATTTTAGTATTATTTGCAATATGTCTTGATGGAGTGCAGATTGATTTACACACAATGTTACCTCTTTATTCATCATTAATTAGCATCAAGGATTCAAGGGTGATCAACTGAGACACTCATTTATGTACATTTAATCATACATTCACTTCAATATATTCAATAAAAGGTGAAATCTTGTATTCAACTATGATTTCATTGTACACATACTTTGACAACTCATTTTAGAAAATGAAAGATCGGTTGTATCCTTTTGTTAGCATTTCTTATTTGACTAATTATTTTTACTCAGATCTCGAAGACAGAAGCAAGTATTATTTTACTTGACTAGGGAAATACTTTGTAATACATTAATATGGCTGTATGTTCAATTCAGCACTTTTCCAGCCATATCACTGCATGAGCCGCCAATGCCAAGCTTCAGACAATGATATCGACGTGGGAATAAACCCCGCACTATCAGCTATTGGTTGATGTGTCTCATTTTCCCTACTGCAGACCCATAAATGATATATTCTCAGGATACTCTAAGATTTTAGCCTTATACAATTCCACCCTGCATTGAGATCTGCAGACACGTGCAAGAGGTGGTAGCATATGAAGATTGTAACGAGCCAAGGCTTCTCAAGTTTTGGTACATCTAAGCAAACAAGCATATCAAATTTCTGTACCTCACAAATGAATACAATCGGTAAATTCAAAATGCTAAACCTGAAATGTGCTATATTATATTGTGGATAATACATATATCCTTTATTTTCTGACAACCATGGCATCTAGACACAAAAAGGTTAATTATCATCTGATGGTAAATTCTGATTGGCCCAGAAGTCATATAGCATGAAGTCTGTCACTTACTTCTTGATGTGATCTGCATTGAGAGATTCATTGATCCTATCCACATCATCCACTGTTAAGTCAGCCCTGCAAACCAAACAGTTACTTATTACTACACGCAATAATAATCAGGATGATATCTAAAGCTTCGTCTGTTGGTTTGTTTATAACACCACACATAGCAATATTCCAGCTATATGGCAGTGGTCTGTAAATAATCAAGTCTTGACAATCCAGTGATTGACATCATGAGCATTGATCTACTCAGTTGATATACAATGATATATGTCAACCAAGCCAGCAAGCCTGACAGCCTCATCCCGTTAGTCGTTTGAAAAGTGCAACTGTTGAATAGGAAAATGACAGGTCCAACAATGGCACAAGCTTATCAAAGTCTCAATACAAGGCCAAATAAATGATCCAACTTACCACACACATATTTTGGCTTTGTGATCTCTGGGCTGCAACAAAAACAGGACCACAAGATTAACATTTGATACTTTTGAGTTAACACGTTCCACATCTGTTAAATAGTTTAATTCTACAAATTTACAGCTTTTGAATTCGCAGCATGACATGAATCGATACCACTGAATTGTATTCCTGCTGGGTTATGCACGGTGCATGGTAGAACGTATTACATCAATACCCGCCGATGCTTTAACTTTTACAGAAGTGTTATGATAAGGAAGCATTCTGCAACAATAAAATGTCTGAACGCTTTTATTCCTGTGCTATTTTCTCTTGCATGTCTCACCTGGATGATCTTCGGAACTTCCTGTTGTGTTTCTTCCTGTGGCACATCCTGTTTTCCCCCAGTTTCCTCCGTAAGATGCATCCTGTCAAGTTACTCCAGACGTCGAAGCTGCATGTGCGAGTTTACAAATAATGGCGCCGTTGCTAAGCACCTCTATTTTCGTTTGTGCAATCCACAAGAGACGGTGTCGCTTAGAACATACAAGACGGGAAAGAGTTATCTCCCATCCACCATTGGCAGATAGCGACCACGTCAAAAGATAAATGGCTGTACACGTTTTTCACACACCAATAAACTCATAATTATTATTAATTATGAAATGGACTATAAATTACAAAAATTATCTCATCTCAAACATTCACTCACAGTATATCAAATTTGCACAGAGTATTCTGTATATTTCTTTGAAATGTGACTAGACGGCTGTATTAATTTGTGTTACAATGGCGACTGTCTCTTGAAGGAATGGAACTTAAAACTCGGAGAAGCCAAACAGTATCAAAGGGCCTAATCGATTTTTTCATAACACAAACCTTGTCTAACCTTAGCATTTTCATTTATGTGTAGCAATACAGGTCTAAGCAAAGACAGTTCTATCAGTGAAAGTGACATATTGTTCTGTGAAATTAGACCAGTTTTAAACTGCAAGATAGTTATACCTATCCTAGTTTGCTTGCGTGTTATTCTTCCAAGATTTGGAATAAATATGTAACAACATCTCTATCATATAACGCCATTCTTAGAATAATGCTCGTCCCTGTGTGGCTGAAATAACGACTATGCATCGTTAAATTGTAGCTCACTCTCTTAAAATAGGAGATGTTTAAGACGTAATTTTACTCTGTCGCGTATCCATAGAAACTGCGCCTGAATCCAATTTCTAGTGAATTTGTCATACAGTTACAATTGACTTGCAGTCATGATTCCGCTACACGCCATGGAAACATATCTGGACCTTTATACATGTATATGATAGTTTATAGAGAAAGTAGACACATTACGGACCCTTAGTAGGGCCACTGTGAAATATTTTTGGTCTCATTATCAGGAGATATTAAGTGAGATAGTGAGGCCAAAATTTTCACCGTGGCATGGCCCTACTACGCTTCCGTAGACATATACTATAGCATGACGCGTCGTGGTAGTAGCTCCTGCTACGGGACTTCATTCACATATTGACGGTACCACGTTACCAGTTGACTAAAGAACCGCGTCAATAGCACAAATTTTCATTTGAGAAACTAACATGTACAGTACATTTTGATTGAGTAAACAAAATCCTAGGGACACCGGTAATGGGCTTCACAAATCGTACCCACATGGGGAATCGACTTTCAGGGTAACAAGCAATGCTAGAACTATTAGGCTACACATCGTCGACCATAACGGTGTACGCCCATTAAACATACCTTTAAAACAGAAAGTAAAGTTTTAAAGTTTTTATTCACTCTGTGTTATTCCATTCAGTTGATGATGACACGTGTTTTTATACAGGGTATCATGCAATAATTTACCTATGGGCGAGGGTTTTATACCCTGTCAGAGGTCTAATTGTCTTGGATACACCAGAAATGGGCTTTACACATTGTACCCATGTGGGGAATCGAACCTGGGTCTTTGGCGCGACGAGCGAACGCTTTAACCACTAGACTACACCAGGTTGCAGGTAGCAGGCTATATTTACTATGCTTATTATGGTGTTCAGTAACTAAATGTGATCCCTACACTGCAAAGGCTCCTTAGTAGAGTCTCGTACGTGTTGAGTAAGTGAGTGAGCGAGTCAGTGAGTGAGTGATTTGGGTTTAACGCTGTTTGAACAGTATTCCAATTATATCACAGGATGTCAGCATAATGTGGGACGAAAGCCTTAAGTGTAGTTTTGTGTGTGCCCTTTCATGAATCCCACGAGCACGGTTACGATGCTGACAACCCTAGCAGCATAATCGGGCGAGGCGGGATTCAAACACACGATCTGATAATTCTTGTGTGTCCAAGGGACGTAACTCTGTACAGCGACTGGACTAACTGTGACCCCGACTTAAACAAAGATTTGATGGTCACCGCTCATGCTATCATAGCTATTCTATTCCGGTACAGAACATCTGATATACCTGACACATTTCCGTTATTGTAAAATTTTACAGGCGATTTTTATTTTTTATCTTTTTATATTTTTAGTTCTGATGAGTGTGACTGAGTGAATGAGTTCAGTTTTACGACGTTTTTTGTGTGGCAATAATCCATCAATATATCACGGCGGAGGACATCAGAAATGGGCTTCACATATTATACCCATGTTGGAGATCGAACCCGGGTCTTCGGCGTGACGAGCGATAACATTAACCACTAGGCTATCCGCACCGCCCTGGGTTTGATGAAGGAAATACGGTAGTTGGGATACCACTGAATGTGGCTTAAAGCACATTCATTCACTAATATCTGGCATTCGAATAAACAGAAAACGAGTGAAACAAGAATAGAAAGGTGCGTGGCAAGTCATCTGCCGTAGAGATGGTTTTCAGGTACAGGTATACGAATGTAGATGATGAAAGTGACACCATCACCGATAATTAAATTGGAAAAAAAAAATTAAATTAAAAAAAAAAAAAGTCCCCAAGAACAACATTTCATTAGATGGATTTTGATAAGATGATACGTCATATCATGTTTACGTACAATTGACAAGGGTTGTTTTACGAAGAAGCTATCTTTTTCTTGATATAAAGTATCGAATCACATAAAACACTTCTGTTTTGCCATTGAAATTGCGTACGATAAAAACGTTTACGATTTCATGGTTTTTGTTTTATTATGTACTGCCAGTGTCGTTTTGAAGTAGCGTACCGTAAACCCTTGGAATTACAACGGCGGTTAAACCATATGGTCAGTTACACCACAGCCAGTCAGTCTGATTTGAGAGGAAACCCCGAATGATTATTGTTATTATTATAGGATATTTTTATAGTGTACACATCCACGCAACTAGTACATGTTCAAGGCACTGGAGTGTTCCCTTGGTCAACGGATGTCTTTTTTTCTGGCATTCTTTTAACCAACTCAACTCCCTGGGGAGTATTCACCTCATACAGCCTGTCAGGCGCAGCGTGTTATCACACAGCCTCAGCCCACAGGAACCCGTTATCGGCATGTAGGTTAAACATAGACCATAGATCTACACGCACGTCACATATATAAATAGAGTATATATGTGACGTGCGTCAAATCTATGATCTATATTTAATCTATACCAATTCTTCAAGTTCTCTCTCAACTACTACAAATTAATAATGCAAGTCTCAGAAACCACGAGCAGGGATATCATACTGAGAAACCTTTAAACATACAAAGTGCTATTCCGAGTTCGAATCCACAACCAGAGGCTTCTGATGCGCACAGTCGACGTTACTCCTATCCGCGACTTGCGATCCTTGGCCATTGTGTAATGACCGTAGACCCTGACTTTAAGGCACAATTTCACATATTTTCGACGACATTTTGGCCTATATAATACATATTGGGGCATATGCACTCACATTAGCTTCCCATTGATGCAATAAAAGACTTACTTAGTATTATCCCTGATTATGCCTGAAATCGATAATTGAAACTTCGAGGCGAACAGCTTCCAAACAGTGAACACTTGCCATTTTAGGAATATAAACAATTGCTCCGTGCATCGGAAACTGTCGCAAGCGCTGTTGTCGGTGTTTGCCGAACTGGTTACAATCACAGGTTGTGCGCAGGATATTCGTAAAGAGCTCTCCAAGGGACATAACTCTATGGGGCTAGCGTGAAATAATGTTCATGGCGCGAGAGTCGATTTAATGCAACGTCGCATTAATTCATTCGAACTTTTTAATAAAATTATGTTGTATAAATGCGTAAAATTGATACTTTTTTTAATAAATTATATGGTAGATTCCCCGAGGGCTGATAGTTAGTATAATTGAAAGAAACGCAGTGTAGTGTGAAATAGTGCCTTTAAAGAGGCAGGCGTTTATTTCTTTTATGCACGGAAGGACCTCTACCAGGCGATTATTCAAGTATTTACGGTAAGTCAAACTCCCCTTAACACCAAGTGTATATAACACCCCTTGATATTGAGCACATGGGGAAATGGTAGTACCACGATTCCTGCGGAGTTGTATCAAATTTGAAGCTTTGTTTTGCTCGGAGACAAACAGGGTCACCTTTCTCTACATGGTATCGATATCAGGACTCTCACGTGTGGTCTAGCCGGACGTTTAGGTATTATCGTTGAACGCTTATAGTCCTAAGCAGCTGCACGCATATTTCTTGTCAAGAGCACAACTACATTATAAAATTTGAGAAAGTAATTGCATGGGCACGATTGAGTGAGTGAGTATGGTTTTAAGCCGCTTTTAGCAATATTCCAGCAATATTACGTCGGGTGACACCAAAAATGGGCTTCAGACATTGCCAGTACCTACACAATGGGAATCGAACCCGGGTCTTCAGCGTGACGAGCGGACGCTTTAACCAATAGGCTACCCTACCCGAGTACGACTGAGATTGAATGTACAGTATTGAGTGAGTAAGTATAATTTTACGCCGCTTTTATCAATATTTCAGCAATATCACAGCGGGCGACACCAGCTATGGACTTCACACACCGTACCCATGTGAGGAATCGAACCCGGGTCTTCGGCGTGAGGAACGAACGCTTTAGCCACTATGCTACCCGACCGCCCCGACAGAAGTGGGAGTGTCCTGATTTAGACATAAATCGTTTTATGACGATGTATAAATAATCGAATCTTAACCAGTCAATCCAGTGATCATCGATCTACGTAGTTGGGATACAATGACATGTGTCAACCAAGTCTGCGAGCCTGACCACCCGATCCCGTTAGTCGCCATTTATGACAAGCATGGGTAGACGGAAACTTCAGGGCATCTGCTTTTCCGGACATATACCCACCCGGGCATCTGCCATCAGGATATCTATTAATCCCGACAACCGTTAAACCAGACACCTTCCACCTAGAATGCCTTTATAGATATTACGAACTCACTGCTGGGCATGGAGCTACCCTGATTCAAGAAGTTTAAATCTGTATGAATTATACTGAATTTTAATTGAAACATATTTAAATTAATCAGCAAACACGGAAACAGTTGAACAATTCTCTCAGTGTCAAG